AGTGGACACTGCCCAGCCCTGTCTGCCTCATCCCGAGTGGAGTGGACGTGGTGCTTCACGTACGTGCTTATCGCTGTTGGGTGCTTTGAGTGATGGAACAGATGTTAATTAAGTTTCAAGTCTTTCACAAGATGTGGGTTTTACTGGCAAGGTCAGCATTTGTTGCACATCCTGAATTGCCGTGGAACTCAATAGCTCACCGGGCCCCTTCAGAGGGCGGTTAAAGGTCAGTCACATTGCTGTGGATCTGGCCTCACATGATGGCGGATTTCCTTGTGTAAAGGGCATTAGTGAAACAGATGATGCTGCTTTGGTGGGATTTGAACTCATCTCTGCAGAGCTTTAGCATGGGCCACAATATTACTAGATCAGTGATATTACCTCCTTCTGCCTGCAATGTTGGATGTTATTGGAGGATAGATGAATGAGGGAGGATGGTGAGGATGCATCTGGGTGAGAGGGATGCACACACCTACAAAGTAAGCTGCTGTGAAAGGTGATAAGTTGAAGTAGATTTTTGGAAGGTAGGGTAAGGGGTAGACCTGTCACAGCTGTCGGGTTACAGTTAAATATGTTAGTGTAGTATCTGGTTTGATCTTTGGAACCACACTTAGCTCTGAGTTCAGGAGTATGGCAGCATCACCACCTCAGAAACCTTCAGCCAAGCTTCATTGCTGTAGGTGGCCACTGGTATAGAAGAGGATCCACCTGTGGGTTCTTACAGCCTGCAACATAAGATCCTCTGAGCCATCAATAAAACTGGCACAGTATTGTCTTTTGATCCCTGTTTTCAGAATCTCTCAATTGTCAATTTTGCAGTGTCTCTTTAAGGAACAAAGTTGAAATTACCTCTTGAAGGCTCTCATTATGCCTGCTGACATTAACTGGTCAAGTTGGGGAATCAGGAAGTCAGATACAAATGCAGTGGTTATGTTAAAAAGATACAGAGGGATGAACTGCACTTGGCAACTGGCTTGACATGTGCTACTCGATTATTACTCAGCAACCCCATTCTCACTCTCAGCATGTCGTCATGTTAAAATTCTGTCTTAATGTCAGGAAGCTATTCAACAGCAAAGTCTGACACTTCAGGAACCAAACGTTGGTTTCCTGTAGAGAAAGGGCACTGGATAATAATCGCAGTAAGGAACCATATCTGATGAGCATTCTTCCTCTTCCATTCCTAGGGACACTGTTCCACTTGCAGCATTGATATTGTCATCTTGGCTATGATCAGCTACAATCACAATCCAAATTAGCCCACTCATGTTTTTCGAAGAATTTTTTTTTGCTTTTATTAGTGTATAACAACCTGTGTAATTTGGTTTGAAAGTCTTATTTTTGAAATCTAAATGTGGGAAGCAAAGTAAAATTCTGTTTTCCCAATTGTTTTAATCCAGATTTGAGGAATGAGTCATTTTTTAAGCAAATTTATTTAAATGTTTTTGCAATCTTTATAATTATGCATCTTATTCCTAACACCTCCGTGGTGTCAACAGTACCAACAGCGGTGAATGCTTTCTGCTAATATGATATTCAGAAAGATCGACTGGTTTAAGGAACTGTGTCACATTATTTTATCACTTCTATTAGTTTCACACTCTCCATGATTTCATACAGAGATGCACAAAGTAATCGTAGCTCTGGGAAAACCCAGATATTTTTGTTTCTCCTCCACTGACTTTGGCTATAATTATATGATGGGCTTAGTTCATACTGTGGAGTTAATAGCTAGGCATTGAAATTACCTTGTACAAATATTGATTCATCATTGTTCAGCATAGCCCAATGAAATTTCCTTGTCATTTTACCAGAAAAATTTTTGAGGGTGGAGTTTGAGGTGGGGATTCTTTATTTCGACAAAAACTTGTATGACAGAATTAGAGAGGGATGTAGCATTTGTCCTAGTGATTCCTCTGGCTGGTAGACCTATGAATTGCTTAACTAGATTTATATCATCATTTGTGGTTTGGCAATCAACTGGCCAAGTTATTTTTCATGAAGGATCTTTTCCTCTGAATAGCTATGCTTTCTGAGACAAATTACTAATAATTTTACAATACTAATAATTTTACACTTAGATGCTGTGTTTACTTATTTTATTGCAGGATTATGTAATTTATTGAGCAATCATTTAACAATAAGTTTATGTTTGCAATTATGTATATCCAGTAAATTTAGTTACCTTTGCCAAAAGAGATGTATCTTATTTCTTTTTTACTTTATAGCCAGTGATTTTTGCGAGAAGTGAAAGAGACTTTGTCTATTGAGTATAAAGGCAACAATTAATGAATATGCAGAGAGAGTGATTTAAAAGTTTGTTTACAAAGGCATCAGCTTGGTGCTTTTTTCATCAGGCATTAATTGGCAGACGAACTTTGCCAACTGATCCGTCTACCTTCATTTCATTAAAAACATTTTTGTTCACAGAGACATAGAAATGTACAGCATGGAAACAGACCCTTCGGTCCAACTCATCCATGCTGACCAGATATCCTAAACTGATTTAGTCCCATTTGCCAGCATTTGGCCCATATCCCTCTAAACCCTTCGTATCATGTACCCATCCAGATGCCTTTTAAATGTTGTAATTATATCAGCTTCCACCACTTCCTCTGGCAGCCCATTCCATACATGTATCACCCTCTGCGTGAAAAATTTACTCCTTAGGTCCCTTTAAATCTTTCCCCTCTCAACTTAAACCTATGCCCTCTAGTTTTGGACTCCCCTGCCTTGGGGAAAAGACATTGACTATTTACCATATCTGTGCCCGCTATGATTTTATAAACTTTTATATGGTTATCCTTCAGTCTCCAACGTTCCAGGAAAATACCACCCACACCACCACACCCGCACCCCACCCCCGCCACCGCCCCGTTCAGCCTTTCCCTGTAGCTCAAACCATCCAATGCTGGCAACATTCTTGTAAATCCTTTCTGAACCCTTCCAAGTTTCCCAACATCCTTCCTATAGCAGGAAGACCAGAATTGAATGCAGTATTCTAAAAGTGGCCTCACCAATGTCCTGTACAGCTGCGACATGGCCTCCCAACTCCTATACTCAGTACACTAATCCACATTTTTATAATGATGAATTAATGTTGCTACAAGGTGGATAACCTTAACCCTAATTGTTAACATGCACTGAGTAAATGAAAGTGATCATGGAACTGTTACAGTATTGCGTATTGATCCGGTCAAATTAAAATCGTGCAGATTGAGGGAAAGAAGGAATTTAAACAAAATACAAGGATTGCAAGATGAAGAAATGGTCCAATAAATACCTTCCGTAGTGGCTTCTGTATCACTTTGACAGTTTTTGAGGTTGTCTTTGCTCACTGACGAGCTACGTTATTTGTCATTGCCTTCATTTTGACCAACCTCTGATCCATTTACTGTATTCCTCAGTAGAAACGATAGGCAAATTGTGAGGCATCAACATTCCTGTATAATTTGTCTGCAATATTTCTGTGTGGAAACTCTGATTAACACTGTCAGGCACTTCCAAATGATTTATTGATTCAATTTTTTTGCAGCCTTGCATCCTGATGAATAACATCCAACAGTTGAGAGTCCAGCTGGAGAAAATGTTTGAGTCAATGGGTGGTAAAGAGGTCAGTGCTTTTTGAAAATCTAAAAGCCAATGCAGTAAAATATATAAACATGACTCAAAGATTTCCAGTATTTAATGCCATGAATTGCATCATTTGGTTTTTTGTAGTCATTAATTCTACCTTTTGCGGTAAAAACATGTGCTTATGATTAGAACTAGGAAATATTTTTAATATGCTGTACATTGCTTAAGTACCTTTTACAATTGGTAATTTTATGACGTTCCTGTGACTAGCTGTTTTTGCTGTAGTATAAGGAAACCTTTTGATAATATAGCCTCAGTTGCATAGCTTGTTGCATGTTTTGTGCACCATCTGTAATTTGTCTTGTCTTTGTCCAATATTTTGTTCTGCATTCAACTGTGCTGCAGGAGGAAAGAGAAAATGCCTTCTGTAAGGTCTGTGCGAACAAGGAAAATCAAGACAAATATAAAACTATATTTTTCTTGAACTAACTTAATGCGTCAATGTCAAACTGTTGTAGACAGTTGTGCTTGGCAATGACATTGACTGGATGTCAAAAATAAATTGTGACTGGAGCTACTATTAGCCTACTAAAATATATTTGAAAGTGTGAACATTACTACCATCCACAATCACTATTTTCAACTACTGCTTAAATTCTAATGCATGACAAGCCAGCCGTATTGAAAATAGTGGTCATTATTGGTAGAAGGTGCCAAATAAGGGGATCATTTGAGCAGGATAAATGGATGTGCTCCCAATGTTAGCTCTTTTCCAAAGTGGAGCATTCTTAATCTTTATAAATTTCTTGGAAATATAAGATCAGAATTTAAATTATAAATAAGTAACATTTAAGTAAACTCCTCCAAATTTGAAATTTTCCAATTTTTGAAGCTTTAACAAAATCAAATCCATTGGTATGTTATTTTTAAGCTCGCAATCAGAATTGTGCATCTGCTGAACTTAATGAACTGCTGATTTTAATTATTGGTTTCTGGAAAACAAATTCCATCTCAAAAGAAGAAGAGAACACTTCATGCCCTTGTTGCTATCAAAATCTGTAATTTATTTGCAGTGTTTTTGATTAAAATCATTTGAAATCTCTTTGACATGACAGCATTCAGACAGGGCATTAGTATTTCATGTATAAGTATTCTTTAATAATGCTGTAATATTGTGGTCAGTTCTTCAATATTGGCATGTTTGAGGTGATCCATTAATGCTTTTGCTGTGTAGTCAACTGCCTATACTTTGCACTTATACTCAGGGAGTTTGCATAGTGTCATGTTCTAGCTTATGAATGTGTTGGAAAAGAGCGGGTGGGAGTTGTTTCATTAGTATCATTTAAAAGAGTACAGTGATACAATTTTAATCTGATGTGCAGATTACAGCACAATGATATGTATATTGGATAATGTGAAAGTGCACCTATTTTGGAGAATATCTAGGTGCTGGCATTCATCTTCTTTCAAATGCAGTTCTTTTTCCCCACTTTTAATAATTGCATGCTGAGAAAATGAATAAAATAATCTATTGAGTAATATTACTTTGCCTGTTCGAAATATGGTGCAGAAAAATAAACTGTATAATGACAACCAGTGGAACCATTACCTTCACACTGAATAATCCTCTGTTTCCTCATGTTCTGAAAACAGAGTATACTTCAGGAGCTCCTCGTACCTGAAATTCATTCATGCCATCTGTCTGATAATTCATCCTTTTTAAGTCATTGTGAGGACAAACCCAGTTTTGACCAGGTCCTGATAATTATATGACAAACCTCGAACCAAGTATTCCCTTGCCGCTGAAATCCTGCTTTCAATTATTGAAATTTTATCCCAGAAGAATGCCATTGATTCAGTGTGCCATGCCAGCTGAAACCTACAGGGGCACTGTAAATTCAAATGACATCTCCTAATCCATTCTGTACCCTTTCAGACTAATTTCAATCATGCTTTACTTTTCTGATCTTTCATGCAACCTTTCTCATTCACTGCAAGAAAGCCAAGTTTCTGCACCAATGATTCTAATTTATGCATTCTTTTTCTTGCCGAGATGTGTTTTACTTGCTAGCACAGTTCACCAGGACTTGAAAGGATTGATCAGTGAGGCAATGATTTTTTGTCTTCACACTGGGCCATTTTCTATTAGTATTGTGAATTAACCAACAGGAACAACAGACAAGTGAACAATTTTGCTGGTTTATTGCCTCATTTGCCGGTTTTAACAAAGTGATAAAAAGTTACGGTTGCAATTCAATTCTTAGTGGCTCATTTTTTTTATTGTACAGAAGTAGTTAAGAAAGCATACAGGATACTTGCCTTTAGTAGCCCAGGCAGAGAATTCAAGAGCAAGGAGGTTATGTTAAAACTGTATAAAATGCTGGTTAGGTCATAACTTTATTGCAAAGACATGATTGCACTGGAGAGACTAAAGTTATTCACAAGGATGCTACCTGGGCTGGAAGGTCTTGAGCTGTGAAGGCAGATATAAAGGTGTGGGAGCAAATTACTGGATTTGCTGGAATCTGTACCAAAAACAAAAAATGCTGATGATCACAGTCGGTCAGGCAGCACCCATGGAGAGAGGAGAGCTCTCTTCATCAGAGCACCTATTAGAGGTGTGTAAGGGGTTATGCGGGGCATAGATAGGGTGGATTGGAAGGCACTTTGTGCATTAATAATTAGCGGGCAGGGGGGGGGGGGAGCGCATTGGTTTAAGGTAATGGGTAGAAGGCAAAGAAGAGAGTTGAGCAGAATTTATTTCACCAAGGAGGAGTGGAAGACTGGAACCTGCTGCCTGAAAGGGCAATTGAAAATCTCTTGTAATATTTAGCCAGTTTCTGGATATCCACATGTATTGCCAGAGCTGTCAAGGACTATGTGCCAAAAGCAGGGAAATGGAATTAGTGTAGTCAGATCTCTGTTGACCAGTGCAGACATAGAGGGCTGAATGGCCTTTTATTATGCTATTAACATCTATGAGTCATATGTCAGTAAATATCTGAAGGGAGTAAACATTACCAACTGTGGGCTGTGAGAGGTCAGAATAGAAGGAATGGAGAGTTCTGAAGAAATGATAGGAATGAAGACGATTACAGATATGGGAAGGGGAAAATCATAAAAGATTTTAATGTGAGACAACTAATTTCATCAGAAATGTGATTGATTTGAACACATTGATTATTGCTTAATGAAACAAATTAGGTAAATTATAGGTGTATTGCACAGTTTTTTGCATTTATTTATAACTGAAATCACTGCAATACCAAAATCTCTTAAAATCCAAAGTGTATCCTGTGCAGAATCAGTACATGCTATCGTGTGTTGCAAAAGGTGATATAACATCTCCCAATAGCATCAGATTTTCAATACAAGGGCCTGTAATTCATTATCATTCTTAAATTGGCATGTTTGACTGCTCAGCACCAAATGTAACATTTTTATTGTATCTTTCTCAATACCTGATTCATTCTGCCGGTTCATCTGTCACTTAAGAAATGAAGTGTAACAATATTTTAACAAATTAATCAAGAAGTAACCAAATCTGACTTTTCAGTAGGATTACAAAATTTTTGTGAAATATATGTCTACAAAAATTTAAACCAACATCATCAAATGTTGTAATCCTTGTGTTTTATCTTCTTCAAAATCTGTTTCAAGGTCATGAAAAAATTCCTTTGCAGAGTGAACATCTCCCTCGCACATATGAGTTTTAACCATGGTCAGTGTGTCAAAATGTACCAAGAACTTCACAGTTAGATTAAGGTGATAGTTAAAGTAAGTGGGCAAAATGTTGGTAAGTAGAGTATTGTGAATTTGTTCTAATGGAAGGGAGAAAAAAAGAATTTTATGTAACTGAAGAAAAACTGTAGGAAGTTGCAGCACAAAGGGACCTGGAGGAACTTGTGCATGAAACACAGAAAGCTAGCACACAGCTGCAACAGGTAATCAGGAAGGCTAATGGAATGTTGGTCCTTATTTCAAGAGGTTTGAAGTATAGAGCAGGAACATCTTTCTGCAGCTGTACAAGGTGCTGGTGAGACTATACCTGGAGTACTGTGAGTAGTTTTGTGTCCCCTTACTTAAGTAAAGATACAATTTCATTGGAGGCAGTTCAGAGAAGGTTCACTAGGATGGTCCTTGACATGGAGGGATTGTCTTATGAGTAAAGGCTATAGAGGTTGGGACTCTGCCTCACTGGAGTTTCGAAGAATAAGAGGTAATCTCAATGAAACATATAGGATTCTTAATGGTTTTAACAGGATAAGTGCTGAGAGGATGTTTCCTCTCATAGGAAAGTCTAGGAGCAGAGGGAGTGGTCTGTGAATAAGTGGGTGCCAATTTAAAACTGAAATGAGGAAGAACTTCTTCTCTCAGAGGATTGACAACCTCTACAAGTCCCTACCACAGAGAACGCTGTGGGGACAGAGTTCTTGTGTATATTTAAGACTGAGATAGATAGATTCTTGTTCAGTAGAGCAATCAAGGGTTATGGGGAAAGGGCAGAAAACTTGGGCGTGAAGATCATCAAATCAGCCATTGGCAGAGCAGGTTCGTGGGGTGGAATGGCGGTTCCTGTTGCTATTTCTTGCAATTTGCCTTTCATATCCCTTGTTTAAAATATCTTCCCCACAGCATCTCATGCCAAATGGTGATTTGTTTAACCAGTGGTTAGGAATATTGTACCATCCAGCCTTGTCAATAGCCAAACGTGGAGCTCAACTAAATGCATTTAATGAGGCATAAAATGTCAAGGTGGAAAAATTATGTGGGCAGATAAGGGCATGCCATTAAAGAAGATTCAATTAAAACAACGAACTAAACTTATTAATGTGTGAGATTCTTTTGAAAATCTTTTGTACAGGTTTACTGCACATCCACATGAACACTGGTGATTCTTGCTACGTTTTCTTGCCATCTCAGTACTGTGATGTGCTGATGCAGTTGGATAAGTGATTGTGTGGGATGTATTGTGTTGTATGAAAGGGGTCAAATCTAATAAGTCTGTTGCACAGCTGCCAGCAGTCCTATTTACACTGCGTAGAGTAATCAACACATCAGTTCTGAAGTAGCATGCTGCTATGGTTTGTTGGGTTAACGGGGTCAGCCATGCAAAAAGAAAATCACAAAGACTTGCCTCATCTCAGAACAAGTAATCTGAACCATTTCGCTTGTGACTGTGTTCCTGCGCACATTTCGACACTTGTCAAAACGTTTCTGAAAATTGAATAAATCCCAAGGAAGTAATACTAAGCAGACTATGCATTTCACCTTCTGGTGATTAATGCCATCCATGTCTGTTTTCTTGCACGTTACATTGCAGCATGTGGCCGATATTAATCTGCTCTGGTCTAAAGCATCTACAAAGTCAGTTCCCTGGAATTTGATTTGAACCATTTTCCACCCAACCGACACACAAGTAAAACATTCAGATTCATCTGAATTGATTTGATAAAATTAATATAATCTGAGACAGCAAATATGACTGATGCTGTTCTCAAATATCCTTCGCATTGAAATTTTTATCTCACAATTGACGTGAAGCTTTAGATCAAATGTTATTTGAAATCAGGCTGCTACCTGATAGTGGTGTCTGCTATTTCATGAAGATTGTTTTCTTTTCAGCTTGATGCGGAAGCCAGTGGTGTCCTGAAAGAATTACAAGTCAAGCTTAACGGTGTCTTGGATGAACTGAGTTATAGTTTTGGCACAAGGTAAAGTAATTCCACTAGAAATAGCTATATAGAAACATAGAAGACAGGAGCAGGAGGAGGCCATTCAGCCCTTCGGGCCTCCTCCACCATTCATCACGATCATGGCTGATTGTCCAACTCAATAGCCTAATCCTGCTTTCTCCCCATAACCTTGGATCCCATTCGCCCCCAGCCGTCTCTTGAATACATTCAGTGTTTCATGTGGCTAAATGAGGAGTGCGTTGCACAAATACATTACATGTCCACCTCTGACGTTGTGAAAGGGTATATCATTCCAGTTGCTTTACATCACACAAAGAGTCTTTCAAAGGTGTATTTTTGGGAATTATCAGTAATTATTTCTTCTTTATGAGTTCTGTGCCTGGAGCTAGGTCTGACCCACAGTGCCATGACCTCATTCACAGGCAGGAAGGTCCCACATCAACCCCTGCTATTAAAGAGCTTGGATCCCCTGGTATTGACATCAATCTAATCCACCATGTGTCCAGTTAACTTCGGTATCTGCTCCCCCCACTGCCCGAGAAGTCGGAGTTGCAGTGGAAAGGAAACGAGTTACAATGCATGTTTGGTGTGGAGCTGTGACTAATTATGAGACAGTCTCCAATCTCTCTCTCTGTCACATGGCCCAATCAGGAACCTCTCCTATTCTTACTGCCTGCTGTTGGCTTGTGTTGGAAGAATTTGAAAATTGATACTCAGCCTGTTCTGGCTGCATTATGACCGCATCTTCCCTGTCCATTGACTGCTGGAGTCGGACTTGAACCTGAGGTTTTTGATTCAGAGTCACGGATGCTACCATAAAACTGCCCTATCAATAATTTAAGGAGCTCAAGTGAATGGTCAGAAAGTTGCACATTAACATAACACTTTCCATCACTCCTACTTGGCTCTAGTAGTTGTCTTCAATCACACATCAGACTGCCAATTACATTGCTGTGCTGATGCGAGCAATTTCATCTTTAGAAGTGTAAGTGAAGTAGAAGAATGTGACTTGACCTCTTAGTTACCCTCTTAGGTTGGAGTTATCTTATTGCCAACACAGAAGTTAATTGTTGGGCCAAACTTGAGGCCTAAGGAGGCCTTCACTGCCAGCTCTCAATACCTATAGTCTTGGACCAGGAGGTCATCAGCTGACTCTATTAACATTTTGCAAACATGAGCTGGCTTGAGAAGCCAACAAAAGTGATGTAGACTGATTGAGATTGACCCCACAGTGTAATCTCCACTGCCTTTTACCATACATGTCCTCATTTGCTGAACATTGGTACGAAAATGGGACCTGGGCAGTCACAAATTTGTCAGTCTGCAGTTCCACCGCTTAAAACTAGCTTGTCAGTTGCTGCAACTAGCCTTCTTTCTGTCCTTTTTGATTTGACAAACTGAACATTGTGGATGATAGCAGTTTATTTACTTCTCTGCTCATAGGGGACCTGTGTTCGAATCCTGCCATGGCAGATGATGGAATTTGAATTCAATAATATTCAATATCTGGAATTAAGAATCCAATGATGACTATGACTCCATTGCTGATTGTTGGAAAAACCCATCTGGTTCACTAATGTCCTTTAGGGAAGGAAACTGCCATCCTTACCTGGTCGTGTGACTCCAGACCCACAGCAATGTAATTGACTCTTAACTGCCCTCTGGGCAATAAATGCCATCTAGTCAGTGACACCTTCATCCCATGAATGAATAAAGGGGACGTGTTTGTTTCACCCTTCAAACAGTAGCATTGATGCTCCAGGTTGCCGCCAGCTTCAAGCCTATCACTCAGTTTAGGCATTCCCATTGGAGCAGCTGTTGCCTGGCACCTGTCTAACTATGTCATGAGAATTACATCATCTACCTTAGACACTGTGATTTGCACATACAGAAAGAGAATTTGTCTCCTACATTTCAGCAGAGAAGCTGCCATTAAATGATGCCATCAGCCGGAGCTTGACCTTCAGAGTGCATTCAGCACATGGACAGTGCCCTGTGTGTTACAATCAAAATCGCTGTCACACTGAACATCTAACCTGTTTTACAATCCAATCCAGTACTGGTGACATGTGCCAGAGAGTTACATGTCTACACATCAATGCATTATCCTGATCATTGATATTCTGTTTACTGGCTCTACGTCAATGCTACAGTTACCACTGCTAAGGCAGCAATTATAGACCTTGGATTCCGATTTCTGGTCATTCCTGGTCTACAAAGCCAAGAGGATCGGCTTGCAAGGAGATTGATGGCAGCTACTGAGGATCTGTCCCAGTGCAGGACCCTGATTATCTACAAGAAGTGAACAGAAGCTGAGTCCAATCAGGGGTAGATGATGCAGACCTGTCCCTAATGCTGTTTGAGATGTTTAGACTGTCTGCCCATGGTACATGCGAACCTGTCTCCACATATTGTAGGTTGTGGGTAGGCTTCTCCTGCAAAACAGATCACGTGAATGATTTTAGTGAAGGGGTCAGTTTCAAAGTTTACATCTCAATTAAGAGTAAATATCACAAAACCAAGGTAGCACGGTATCTTTAAATGCAGCCCTTTTACAACTGCTTCATGTTGTATTCTCTCCCTCTCTCCACCCGAGTTACAGAAAACCCTGATGCACAAGTATTGCAGTGTCTCTGAAGATAGCCTCCACTGTACAAAAAGATACTCATGTCATCACACACATCTAAGCAACAAACCCCCAGGGTCTAACAGCGTAACGAGTAGGAGCACAGTTAGACTTGTTCTCGAGACTGCTGCATCATTAAAGATGATCATCACTGATCTTCTGCCTCAGCTCCAGTTTCTCACCCATTCCCCTTTTCATCTTCCAGTATAGCAAGCAATGACACAAGTTCCTCCTTGATACCCTGCTGTAAACATACAACACATGTCCGCTAAGGTTTGCACTCAGTTTATAAGCAGTATTAACAGGTTCCTCATTAATCTGCAATGGTGATATCGCTTCTTTATTACAGCTTTGAATCTTATTGCTGTTTCTTCATCTAATTTGCCTGGAAGGGCTGTAGCTGCCAATTACGGGAGTGGAATATTGATGTCTCATCACTTAGTGAATGTCACTTTTTAGATTCTGCTGAAAGACTGTGTCCTCAGTGTTCTACGGAAGTCAGTGATAGTGCATCAGGAGTATTACCTACTCTTCAGGCCTGTATGCACCAAGCTATGTGCAGGAATCAAGGTGATGCATAGTGAAAATCAAAAACATCCACAGAATACAGTGCACGTCGTGAGTTCTGCTCTTCCCTCTACTCTTCAGACCAAATTGTTTCCAAACTGTTTCCTGCCCTTCCCATTCTCTCTGGTCTTGACCTCTCCCACTAGTTTTACCCCATGTCCTTAATTGAAATGCTGTTTTTTTTTACATACAAAAGGAGTGGGGACTGTGGCCAGAAGCTTACCAAACTCTGATGTGTGACTATGATGTTGAGATGTCTGCTAGAATCAAACAAGATGTTCAGTGAGGCCTATCTCAATGTCGAGACGATCTCGCCACATCTTGTTCGCTTTTCTCAAGCAGCGTGGTGAGATTCTTACTAGATAGGGCCCAAATGGCTTGTAACAGCCCAGTTTATCACGGCCCACAATCTTCAAACCAGTAGGGTCTCTCCCACAGGAGAGACAGTCACAGGATTGACTGCAGCATCTCAGCCATGACAAGCTGCATGGCCCCAGCCCCTCCACTATGAGGACTGGTGCTTCCTGTCCACCTGCTGCTGCTCCTCCCTGTTTATTTGGACAAAATCCCCCATCACCAAGCCCACAGGCTCATCTCCTGCCAGGGGCTCCGTAGGTGCCTAGTCTCCAGCAGCTCTGCCTGCCCATGGACCAGGGAGGTTCTCCCTCACCCACAGTGTCAGTGTGTGGAACTGACAGTGCACACTTATAGCGTCCAATGAGATACCTTTATCCACGCTGCTGCTTGCGAGGTCCAGGAGGCAGCATAGATGATGGTCCTTCTGCACTATCATCCGGGGAGGGTGAGGAACTCTGTCCTGTGGGAAGGTGGGTGCACCTTGAGTGTAAGGGTCAGAAGTCATTACAGCCACTAGTTTGTCCTGGTGAATATCTGCTAAAATCACCTGACCTGAAAGTAGCCTAACTCTCAGGAATTTACCAAAGAATCTTTGTTAGACATAGCTGAAACTGTTTACCACTTCCTGAAAAGGCGTGTAATTACCTGGACGTTAACATTCATCATCGGAAATGTGAAGCCCCACCACGAGACCTTCCGATGTCTGTGGGGATGAGACCTCTTGACTGTAGGTGTTGCTGGAGCAAAGATTAGGTGGATTGACCATTCTAAATTGCCCATAATGTCCAGGGATGTTCAGGCTCGATGGATTAGCCATTGGAAATGTAGGGATACAGGGATAGGGTGGCGGGGGTGGGTCTGGCTGGGATGTTGTTCGGAGGGTCGGTGTGGACTTGATGGGCCAAATGGCCTGCTTCCACACTGTAGGGATTCTATGATTCTAAAAGACTTGAGTCCGAAACTCGCTATGCAAAGAGGAAGATCGAAACCTTGGTCCAGATTGAAGAATGAAGGGGGAGCCCTGACAATGGACCATCAAAACTCTTGGTGACAAACAGAAGCGAGCCACTAACTAGGATTCACATCTCAAAACCATCTTCCTGTGGGAAGCTGTGATTACTAGCTTGTATTTTTTTACTGTAGAAGACGGTAACATCCAGTAACATCAGCAAGAGGAGCTGTGTGCAGAATGTGACATTGTCTCTCTGTCTCTAACTTTCTTTGGAAGTGGTGTACCCAGTTCTGTCAAGAAATGGTCAATCCTGACTTAAAAAGTACCAACTGCGAGATTAAAATTCAAAACTCTTCTCCCTTTATCTGCGTCTGAGGGAACAACTAAAGCAGCTCAGCTGCAACCTTCCACACCCCCACCCCCACCCCCACCCCCACCCTCCTCCATCCATATCCACACCCACATCCACCTCCCCCACAACCCCCACCAACAGCCTCACAGCATTGGGTCATATAATGCCTTCACCTAAGAACTGACCAATTCCACCTTCCCTCGAGCAGCACCTAGTTCTGTTTTCTTATGTGCGAGTACGTGGTGTGTGCATGTTGCAAATTTTGCGACGGGTTCTTGCTTTTGTTTTAATATGTTTTATCCTTTATTTGAGTAAGTATAAGGTAAAATCATAGTCTTACCAGACCATTGGGCTGCTGTCCCATTGGAGAGAGATGACTGGGTGCTAGTTTAACCTGAGAGTCACCGTGCCTCAGGCACGAGGAGAGGGTGGGAAGGAGAGTCCTTAATGGTAACCTCAGCGGGTGTGGGAATTGAACCCAAACTGGTATCACGCTGCGTCACAGACAGCTGTGCAGCCAACTGAGCTAACCATCTCCTTGAGTGAGTTTATAATCAGCAAACCCCTTAAGAGCCCTTTGGCGTACCCTGTCATAAATTTAAATGTGATCAAGTACAGGTTGAATTGAAAAGTACACGTTTCTAAAATCCCAAACACTATTAGACCAACCTTAAGAGTACAAAGAGATGAATTTATCCACTCTTCTTTTCTTGGTCTTAACTTGGCATCCAAGAGCTCCTCTGAGAGTCTTAACAGAATATAAACATCTATCTAAATTGACTGTTCTTTTTTTCACTAATCTTTTTATGTCAGTAACTGTGACATTCAAGTCAGCAACCAGAGGATTGTGTTTAGAAAGTGTACTATCTGAAAAATAGCATTGGTCACCCTCTGTTAAAGTGTCAATGTATTGTTTTACCTAGCAACCAAAGGCCTTGTCATTCATGTATTAAAAGCTGAATCCCAGCACTGTATTTTTTTGCTGTTACGGATATGTAGGTAAAGGAAAAAGGTCAAATCAATGTACTAACATTTTGTGGCAAACATCAGTAATCTTGGTGTACTGTGTTTTTTTTAAATGTTACTATCTGACATTCCTGATATTTGGTTTTACATATTTTGTTTAATCACTGCCTTTGTTTGATTGTTTCAGCTTCCAGTCTGTGATTGAAGACTGTGTGAAGCAGATGAACATCGAGTTATATCAAATGCGGGGAAATGGGAATGTGTCTGCAAACAGGAACAGTTCAACCCTGGATGCAGAAATGGTCTTGAGGCCACTAATGGACCTTCTGGATAAAAAGTAACGTAGTTCTATGAAGAAGTGTTAGCTCAAAAATATTCATTTCATCCTGAGCTTCAGAGCTTTTACAGTAATTTATTTGTGAACACTGCATCACTTCTATTGAAATGCAAATATCAGATGGGCAGTTTGGAAATGTGGCCTTTAAATCTGACTTATCAGAAAGCTGCCTTGCCAACGTACATTCTGCTGATGGGATGCAGCTGTATAAATCTCATTTGCCTTCAGATTTTGTGAGCTAAAATGCAACTGTTTTGAAGTCTCAACTGTCTGATATCAGTCAATATTTTTTCCTTTTTCCAGCCTCACACTGTTCGCCAAAATATGTGAGAAGACTGTCTTGAAGAGGGTTCTGAAAGAACTTTGGAAATTAGTCTTGAACACCATTGAGAAAAAGATTGTTCTGCCTCCATTAACAGACCAAAGCGTAAGTATCAGCTGAATATTTATACTCGTTTATACAAAATAAAAACATTGGATTTAGGTGCAGGAATAGTCCATTCAACCCTTCGAGCTAGCTGTGACATTCAAAAGGTCAGGGACAGATTTGGTTGTGATCTCAATTGTACTTTCCCATCAGCATTTAAAAGGCATCGTGAAAGAAAGGGTTTAGAGGGATATGGGCCAAATGCTGGCCAATGGGACTAGATTAATTTAGGGTATCTAGTCGGCATGAACATGTTGGACCAAAGGGTCTGTTTCCACGCTGCACATCTCTATGACTCTGTGACAATACCTGCCCTGCCCATAAATCTTGATACTATTAACTATCAAAAACCTATCCACTCAGCTTTGAAAGCAATTCAGTCAGCCATCCACCTCTGCTTTCTGGGATTAACAATGCTGAGAGAAAAAAAGTACTTCCTATTTTCAGAGATAGTAGGAACTGCAGATGCTGGAGAATCTGAGATAACAAGGTGTAGAGCTGGATGAACACAGCAGGCCAAGCAGCATCAGAGGAGCAGGAAGGCTGACGTTTCAGGCCTAGACCCTTCCTATCTTCGCCTTAAAAGGGAGATCCCTGTTCTTAAACTGTGGCCGCTTGTTCTAGTCTTGCTCACAAGAGGGAACATTCTCCTGATACTCATCCAATCAAATCCCCTCAGGATCTTTTAAATATTTCAAGAAGATCCTCTAAACTCCAATGGGTAGAAATCCAGTCTGTTCACCCTTTCTTCATAAGATGAACCCTTCATCCCAAGAATGAGTTAAGGGAATCTTCTATAAAACTGCTTCTACTGCATTATATCTGTTTTCAAATAAGGAGACCAGAATTTTATACAGTACTCCAGATGTGGTCCCAAGAGCCTAAACAGCTGCAGTAAAACATCCTTCTTTCTATATTTCGCCCTAATAATAAATGTATCTAATAATGATAACATTAGCGAAAAAAGGCATTAATTTACATCTATCTTGCAAATATCTAATCGGGAATTCAAGCACAGTACAGATTCCTAATTGATATCAAAAAAGGACAGTAATTAAACTCTCCTGGGTCTAATGCTGTGGAGGGCAGGAAGTTTGATCTCCACAATAGGCACTCTCCTCTCCACAAGTCTTGTAGATTCTTTCCATGAACCTGCGTAGAGAATATAAGAACTAGGAGCAAGGGTAGGCAGTTCAGTCCCTGAGCCTGCACTTCCATTTGATACGATCATGGCTGATCTCGTCTTGGCCCCAGCTCCACTTTCCCACAAGCTCCCCATAACCCATCAATCCATTATGAAGTCTATCTCCTCCTTACATTGACTCAGTGGCCCAGCATTCATCACACTCTGGGGTAGTGAATTTCACAAATTCATGGCCATTTGGGAGAAGGAATTTCTCCTCATCTCTGTTTTAAATCTGCTACCTGTTATCCTAAAACTATGACCTCTTCTTCCAAATTGCTCCGCATGAGCAAACATCCTCTCTATGCCAACTTTGTCAATCCCCTTTAGCATCACCTAAATCTCAATTAGACCACCTTTCATTCTTCTAAACTCTCTACAGAGTATAGGCTTAAACTGTTCAGTCACTCTTCATAAGACAAAGCCCTCATTGAGTTCTATATGCTGTTATACAGCACAGGAACAGACCCTTAGGTCCAACTCATCCACACTGACCAAAAATCCTAAACTGATCTAATCCCATTTGCCAGAATTTGGCTCATATACCTCTAAGCCCTTATTATTCATGTACCCATTCAGATGCCTTTTAAATGTTGTAATTGTACCAGCCTCCACCACTTCGTCTGACAACTCTTTTCATACATGCACCGCCCTCTGTGCAAAAATGTTGCCACTCTCCCTTTTAAATCTTTCCCCTCTCACCTTAAACCTGTGTCCTGTAATTTTGGACTCCCCTACTCTGGGGAGAAAGACCTTGGCTATTCACCCTATCCATGCTCCTCATGATTTTATAAACCTCTATAAGGTCACCGCTCAGCCTCCGATGCTCCAGGGAAAATAGCCCCAGCCTATTCAGCTTCTCCCTGTAGCTCAAACCCGCCAACCCTGGCAAGGTCCTTGTAAATCTTTTCTGAATCCTTTCAAGTTTAACAACATCTTTCCATAGCAGGGAGATCAGAACTGAACTCAGTATTCCAAGATTAGCATAAACAATGCCCTGTACAGTCAGAACATGACCTCCCAACTCCTATGTTCAGTGCACTGACCAATGAAGGCAAGCATACCAAACGCCGCCTACACTATCCTGTCTACATACAACTCCACTCATCTCAGAAATCAACCTAGTGAACATGCTCTGAACTGCTTCTAATGCAAAGACTTCCTTCCTCAAATAAGGGGAATAAAATTGTATGCAGTACTCCAGGTTTGTCTCGCTAATGCCTTGTACAGTTGCAGCAACACTTCTGTATTTGTACACACTATTGCTTTAGTAATAAGTCACAACATTCAGCTGAAAGTGAACAGGATGGTCAGAAGTTGCAATGAGACCGATGATTGCTTTTATTTGGTTAATACTTTCTTCATTTGGTTTTAATTTATTTTTAGCCAGTTAGTTAATCCAGCTGTCTGTAACATCTGTCATTTTCTGTTTGGTAAATTTTTTCAGTACTGATACTAAAAGCTTTGAATTTAGAGCAGTACCGGAGCCATGCGGCAAGTAACAAATTACAGCAGCTCGGTATATAATACACTAAATGTTAAACCTTGGGGACTAGAGCTTTACAGTACGAAAGCTACAAGTAGTGCACAGTGCATAACTGATGAGTGAATATCAGCATGAAGAGAAGTAATTTCATTCCATAAATACATGACCAATAAAGTTTATAGGTCAGGGAATGTAGTTTCTGATTACTTTTGCATGCATGTACTGTGCATTTAAACATGAAGTCATCCATGCCGTAAGGTGTATCTTTATATTAGTGATTGCTGAGATCCTTCAGTCAGTTATATTGCCAAGATTTGTTTACCTAACACCAAGGCGTCATTTTAAAAGAAAAGTTAATTTTGGAAAACATAAACAGTTGCTTGGCTCTGCGTAAATAGTTGTTGGGATATGCATTGGTTTTATAAATATAACGTAATTTAGGAGAATCGAATTGTCATCTAAGCTTCAGTCAGACATTACAGATTTGTCCCAGTGCATGCTTTTTATAGCAATCGGACAGAATCAGTATTTGACATGTAAATGTGAACTCTAGCTCAGTCAATTTGGGTGAAATGAAACGACTGATGAGATGATAGGGGCAGAATTGAATACCTCCAGGAAATGGGTGTGTGTGTTGTAATGCAGGATTAGCCCCAGCTACATTTACTGTGGTACCCAATCAGAGTGTAGACCAGCGCAGCCCTCACGGTACATGGCTATGCAGGCCAGCAGGGGGCTCTGTATGGTGAGAGTGACTGACTTCACTTCTCAGCAGACTCTTGAAAGCATGCTCTAGCTCCTAACAGGGAGGAATGTGGCTCTGAAAAGTGGTAAGGGGTCATCTGGAAACTGAATAAAAGCAAAGTGTTGCAGATCGAAGGGAGGTGGCAGTGCAATCAGTGGACCCATAATCCAGAAACCCAGGCTCATGTTCTGGGGATATGGCTTCTCATTTCACCATAGCAGATGGTGAAATTTGAATTCAGTAAAGTCTGGAATTAAAAGCTAACCTAATGGCAACCACTGTTGATTGTCACTAAAATCTCATTGGGTTCACTAATGCCCTTTAGGGAGGGAAATCTGCCATCCTTACCTGGTCTGGCCTCCGTAGAGACATTGAGTCATAGAGCAGAGAAAGAGACCCTTCAGTCCAACCAGTCCTTGCTGAACATAATCCCAAACTAAACCAGTCCCACCTGCCATATAGCTCGAGACCTTTCCTATTCACATATTTATTAAGTGTCTTTTAAATGTTGTAACTGTGCCTGCATCCACCACTTCCTCAGGAAGTTCATTCCACACACAAAGCACTCTCTGTGCAAAAAGGTTGCTCCTCAAGTCGTTTTTATATCTTTCTCCTCTCACCTTAAAAATATGTCCCCTAGTCTTGAAATGCGCCACCGTACATGTAATATGTAGTTGATTAACTATACCTCTGGGTAATTAGGAATGAACATTAAATTGTGGCATTGCAAGTGACACCCTGTGTGCATCTTGTGAATGCATTTAAAGAAAGTGCCAGAGACCTGGCAAAACTCAGCATGTTTGGCAGCAGCTGTAAAGAGAGAAACAGAGAGAAAGTTTCAAGTCTGATATGACTGTTCTTTGAGTCGCTTGGGAAATTGAATCTGTGCTCTGAATCACTGGGAGGACAAACTGATTGGAATGATTGGATCTCAAGAAAATGCCTCTGGCTGACTTTCCAATTCAACTGGACAGAAAATAGCCTGGAGACCTCCTGTATCAGTCACTCACACCTGCTTCACGGATCCCAAAGGAACAACTCTGCTTAACCTGCAAGGGAAAGTTCAAACTCACTTCACTGGGACTTTTCAGTGGTCAGACTGGGCTTGTGCTGGTTCAGATGCCATCAGGGTCTCACTGATTTAATATGATGCTAGTTTTATGAAGTCCCCACTTGATGATTCGATGAATGTAAAGTCTGAAAACTTGAGTGTTTTACAGTTTGAACAGATCAGGGAGAAAGTGCGTGCTGAGAGCTCACCAACGCTGCCCACCCAGTTTCTGCCAGACACAGGGATTTAAAATTTCCCTCTGATTCAGTGTGCCAGAACTCCAGAAGCACAGGCCATCTCTAACACTTACATTCCTGTCAGATTTAGCAACTCATTCTGGTCCTGTGATGGAATATAAACCGTATCTCTTTGACTGGAACCCTGCAGCCCAATGGTATCAATGTGGACTTTACAAGCTTCAAAATCGCATCCCAAAACCAGCCCAGCTCATCCCCGCCTCCCTAACCTGTCCTCCCACCTATCCATTCCTCCCACCTCAAGCCCCACCCCCATCTCCTACCTACCAGCCTCATCC